AAGGATAAGCAGACTCCCCGCTGAGCAGGGAGCCTGATGCAGGGCTCAATCCCAGGACCCCAGGATCATGACCTGAGCCAAAGGCAGACGCTTAACTGACGGAGCCACCCAGGCGCCCAGAAAATTGGTTTATTTATTCATTTTAGTAATCTCTACACCCAATGTGGGGCTCAAACTCACAATCCCAAGATCAAGAATCACATGCTCTTCCAACTGAGCCAGCCAGGCACCCTGATGACAGTAGAAAATTATTATTAACTTTAAGTGTGACAGTGACATTAAGATTATATAAGACTTGGGCCCCTGGGTGGCTCAGTTGGTTAACGCAACTGCCTTCGGCTCAGGTCATGATCCCGGAGTCCCGGGATCGAGTCCCGCATCGGGCTCCCTGCTCAGCGGGGAGTCTGCTTCTCCCTCTGACCCTCCCCCCTCTCATGTACTCTCTCTCATTCTCGCTCTCTTAAATAAATAAATAAATCTTTAAAAAAAAAAGATTATATAAGACTTATTTGGGGAGAAATAGAGGTGAAATAGCATGTCTGTATTTGCATTAAAATATATCAGAAAAAGTAGATGTAGCACATTTTACAAAATGCTAACAATTGTTATATATGGGAGATGGGTAAATGGGTGTTACATTTTCTCATAATAACAAACACAAAAAGGCTTCACAAACAAAAGATAAATATTTTGTCAATTAAAAAAAAAAATCCAGTGATGCCTGGTGGCTCAGTCAGTTAAGCATCTGCCTTCGGCTCAGGTCATGATCTTGGGGTCCTGGGATCGAGTCCTGCATCGGGCTCTCTGCTAAGTGGAGAGTCTGCTTCTCCCTCTCACTGTGCTCTCCCTCTCTCGCTCTCAAATAAATAAATAAAATCTTTAAAAAAAAATCCAGGGGCACCTGGGTGGCTCAGTCAGTTAAGCGACTGCCTTCAGCTCAGGTCATGATCCCAGGTCCTGGGATTGAGCCCCATATTAGGCTCCTTGCTGAGCGGGGAGCCTGCTTCTCCCCTGCCTGCCATTCCCCTTGCTTGTGTTCTCTCTCTCTCTGTCAAATAAATAAATAAAATCTTTTTAAAAATCCAGCAAATGAATATAGGTTTATCTTATTTTATTGTGCTTCATGTTATTGTGCTTCACAAATACTGCATTTTTTTTCTTTTACAAATTGAAGTTTGTGGCACTCCTGTATTGATTAACTCTATTGGCACCATTTTTCCAACAGCATTTCCTCACTTCATCTCTCTCTGTCACATGTTGGTAATTCTTGCAATACTGCAAACTTTTTCATTATATTTATTATGGTGATCTGTGATCTTTGATGTTACTAATTGGGGACACCACAAACTGTACCATATAAGATGGAGAACTTAATTGAATGTTGTGTGGTCTAACTATTCCACCAGCCAGCTTTTCTCTCTTCTCTCTCCCTTCTCCCTCTCCTTGGGCCTCCCTATTCCATGAGACACAATATTGAAATGAGGATAGTTAATTTTGACTTTCAAGTCTTATTATTTAAGAAACACATTTCATAAACCTACAGCTACTATAGAAAGTGATTCCTCTGATGGATCCGGGCAAAATAAATTGAAAATCTTCTGGACAGGATTCACCATTCCAGATGCCAATAAGAACATTTGTGATTCATGGGAAGAGGTCAAAACAGCAACATTAACAAGAGTTTGGAAGAAGGTGATTCTAACCCTCATGGATAACTTTGAGGGATTCAAGACATCAGTGGAGGATATAATTGCAGATAGGGTGGAAATAGCAAGAAAACTAGAATTAGAAGTGGAGCCTGAAGGGGCACCTGGGTAGCTCAGTCAGTTAAGCATCTGCCCTTCGGCTCAGGTCATGACCTCAGGGTTCTGAGATCAAGCCTCCTGTCAGTCTCCCCACTTCTCCCTCTCCCTCTGTCCTTCCCCCCTCCTCGTCCTTGCTCTCTCTCTCTCTCGTGTTCTCTCTCAAATAAATAAGTTAAATCTTATAAATAAATAATAAATAAATAAACAAAAAGAATCTTTAAGAAGTGGGGGCACCTGGGTGGCTCAGTCAGTGTCTGCCTTCGGCTCATGTCATGATCTCAGGGTCCTGGGATCGGGCTCCCTGCTCAGCAAGGAGTCTGCTTCTGCCTCTCCCTCTGTCCTCCAACCCCTGCTCATTCTTGCTCTCTCTCTCTCTTTCTCTCTCTCTCTCAAAAAAAATTTTTTTAAGTGGAACCTGAAGATGTGACTGAACTGTTAAAATCTCATGATAAAACTTCCTTTTTATGGATGAGCAAAGGAAGTGGTTTCTTGGGATGGAATCTACTCCTGAAGATGCTGTGAAGATTGCTGAAATGACAAGATTTAGAATATTATATGAACTTAGTTGATAAAGCAGCTGCAGGTTTTGAGAGGACTGACTCCAATTTGGAAAGAAGTACTGCTGTGGGTAAAATGCTATCAAACAGAGTCACATGCTACAGAGGAATCATTCCTGCAAGTAAGAGAAAATCAATGTGGCAAACTTCACTGTTGTCTTATTTTAAGAAATTGCCACAGCCACTTCAACTTTCAGCAACCAGCATGCTGATCAGGCAGTGGCCATCAACATTGAAGCAAGACTCTCCACCAGCAAAAAGATTATGACTTCCTGAAAGCTGAGATGACGGTTAGCATTTTTAGCAATAAAGTACAGTCAACCATTGAACAACACGTCTGAACTGCATGGGTCCACTTATAAATGAATTTTTTATAAATATGGTGAAGTACTGTAAATGTATTTTCTCTTCCTTATGACTTTCTTAATAACATTTTCTTTTCTCTAGCTTACTTTATTTTAAGAACACAGTACATAATAATATAGGGGCACCTGGGTGGCTCAGTCGGTTGGGTGTCCAACTCTTAATTTTGGCTCAGGCCATGATCTCAGGGTTGTAAGCTCAAGCCCTGCATCAGGCTCGGCACTCAGTGGAGGGTCTGCCTGAGATTCTTTCTCTCCCTCTCCCCCTCCCCTCCCTCTGCTTTGCCTGTGCGCTCACTCACTCTCTCTCTAAAATAAATAAATTTTTTTTGTTTTTAAGATTTTATTTATTTAAGGGGCACCTGGGTGGCTCCATCGTTAAGCGTCTGCCTTCGGCTCAGGTCATGGTCCCAGGATCCTGGGATCGAGCCCCACATCGGGCTCCCTGCTCTGCGGGAAGCCTGCTTCTCCCATTCCCACTCCCCCTGCCTGGGTTCCCTCTCTCGCTATGTCTCTCTCTGTCAAATAAATAAGTAAAATCTTAAAAAAAAAAAAAAAAGATTTTATTTATTTATTTATTTGACACAGAGAGACACAGCGAGAGAGGGAACACAACAGGGGGAGCGGGAGCGGGAGAGGGAGAAGCAGGCCTCCCGCCGAGCAGGGACCCCGATGCGGGACTCGATCCCAGGACCCTGAGATCATGACCTGAGCTGAAGGCAGACGCTTAACGACTGAGACGCCCAGGCGCCCCTAAAATAAATAAATCTTGGGGCGCCTGGGTGGCTCAGTTGGTTAAGCGACTGCCTTCAGCTCAGGTCATGATCCCAGGGTCCTGGGATCGAGTCCCGCATCGGGCTCCCTGCTCGGCGGGGAGCCTGCTTCTCCCTCTCCCACTTGCCCTGCTTGTGTTCCCTCTCTCGCTGTGTCTCTCTGTGTCAAATAAATAAATAAAATCTTTAAAAATAAATAAATAAATAAAATAAAATAAATAAATCTTTAAAAAAAAAGAGAGAGAGAGAGAGAGAGGTGCCTGGGTGTCTCAGACAGTTAAGCATCTGCGTTCAGCTCGGGTCATGATCCCAGGGTTTGGAGATCGAGCCCCACGTCAGGCTCCCTGCTCAGTGGGGAGTCTGCTTCTCCCTCTCCCTCTGTGCTCTCTCTCACTCTCTCTCAAGTAAATAAATAAAATATTTAAAAAAAAAATACAGTACATAATATATATACATATATAAAATGTGTTAATCAGCTGTTTATATTATTGGTAAGGCTTCCAGTCAACAGCAGGCTAGTAGTAGTTAAGTTAAATGCAGATCTGACCACATAGGGGGTCAGCACCCCAACCCCTGTGTTATTCAGGGCCCACTGTATTTTTTAATTAAGGTGTGTACACCTTTTTAGACATAATGCTACTGCACACTTAACAGACTACAGTATGGTGTAAACATAAATTTTATATGTATGGGAAACCAAAAAATTCACTTTGCTCACCTTATTACAATATTCACTTTATTGTGGAATGAAATAAACCTGTAATATCTCCAAGGGATGCCTGTACAGCACAGACATCACAAATACCAACACCAGAAATGTAAAAACCAACTACTCTTATGTTGCGTAAAGGAGTACTTAACTATTTGGAATAAAATTTCTAACAAAGCAGCATATGTATATTCAAAAACTGCTATATCTCAAATGGTTTAGATGGAATAGCAGATGATGGTGAACTGTGCTAGATAATTCAAAAAGGATCTAGTGATGTCAAAGACAGTGAAGTTTAAAAAGCATGTAAAGGCATAAAACTTCATGAAATGAGAGCAGGAAAAAGTGATTTTTTATATTTTTTTATAATTTATAATATAATATTACATATTTAAAATATATGTGTGTCACTAAAATAAATAGTGCAAGTTTTAAAAATGCTGATTCCAGGGGCACCTGGGTGGCTCAGTTGGTTAAGCGACTGCCTTCGGCTCAGGTCATGATCCTGGAGTCCTAGGATCGAGTCCCGCATCGGGCTCCCTGCTCGGCAGGGAGTCTGCTTCTCCCTCTGCCCCTCCCCCCTCTCATGTGCTCTCTCTCATTCTCTCTCTCTGAAATAAATAAAATCTTTAAAAAAAAAAAAATGCTGATTCCAATTAGTAGTTTAATGATCTTGAACATGTTACTTAAATTCTACCCTTATCTATAAAAGAGATATTAACTATATCTCATTTAGTTATTATGAGAATTAAATGAGAACATACTAAAGAGTTAAAGGATTAAAATGAGGGCACCTGGGTGGCTCAGTCGTTAAGAGGCTGCCTTCAGCTCAGGTCATGATCCCAGGGTCCTGGGATGGAGCCCAGTATCAGGCTCCCTGCTCGGGAGGGAAGCCTGCTTCTCCCTCTCCCACTCCCCCTGCTTGTGTTCCTTCTCTCGCTGTGTCTCTCTCTGTCAAATAAATAAATAAAATCTTTAAAAATTTTTTAAAAAATAATAAAGGATAAAAATGCATATATGAAGTACCAGGCAAGGTGCTTGTCACCCAGTAAGCATTTAATAAATGTGAATTCCCTTTCCTCTCCCTTCCCTGTTCCATCCTTAATCCTAGTTCTGAATGCTGCAAATTAAGAATATTTTTTTCTTCTTTATGATAGCTTTTCAGTTAACCAAATCTTCCCCAGGGCAAAATATATAAAGTCTTTCAGGTTTCCCATGGAACACGGCATCAAGATCTCCCTGGTTACCTTTTTTAAAGTTTAGCCTTAATTGCCATCCAAACTGTCAAAGACCTGCTAAAACACAATAGCAAAAAATGTACACAATATTAAATATATAATCTAACTAGGACAAAATTGAATAGGACTATTATTTCCCATAATCTGGATATAAAGAACATAGTTTCTGATCTTCTAAGCATACTAAATGTATCTATAATTTTGAAAGCTGGAACATGAAACTTGACACAAGGTAAACTGATATTAGACCCCATTCAAATAAGCTGAAATGCTAAGTACTAGGGGGATGTGCGAATTTCTAGGATAGTATCTCTTTTGATAAATGTTCCTTTTTTGTTGTTGTTGTTCCTATTTTAAGAAGACCTGAACATGACCACTTAGGTCAGATAGGCCACTTTTTTTTTTTTTAAGATTTTATTTATTCATTCATGAGAGACAGAGAGAGAGAGAGAGAGGCAGAGGGAGAAGCAGGCTCCCAAGGAGCAGAGAGCCCGATGCGGGACTCGATCCCAGGACCCTGGGATCATGACCTGAGCCGAAGGCAGACGCTTAACCATCTGAGCCACCCAGGTGCCCTTTTTTTTTTTTTTTAAGATTTTATTTATTTATTGGACAGAGACAGCGAGAGACGGAACACAAGCTGGGAGAGTGGGTGAGGGAGAAGCAGGCCTCCCGCTGAGCAGGGAGCCCAAGGCGGGGCTCAATCCCAGGACCCTGGGATCATGACCCAAGCTGAAGGCAGACACTTAATGACTGAGCCACCCAGGTGGCCCACCACCGCCCCTTTTTTTAAGATTTTATTTATTTGTCAGAGAGAACACAAGCAGGGAGAGCGTCAGGCAGAGGGAGAAGCATACTCCCTGCTGAGCAAGGAGCCCAATGCAGGCTTCAATCCCAGACCCTGGGATCATGACCCGAACCAAAGACAGACACTTAACTGACTGAACCACCCAGGCATCCCAACTCATCTCTTCTAATAAAGTGAGTTAGAAGGCTATTTCAGAGACTGTGGGAAAGAAAGCAATCAAGAGGAAAGAGGAAGTTAGTTCTGGGGCTAGGGTAGGCTATTCTATAGTTTACATTACAAAGGTCAAAGGAGGAATATGATAAAAGGGAAAACAAAATTAATAACATGAAGTATTATCAAAAAATAGTCCCGGGCACCTGGGTGGCTCAGTTGGTTGCGCATCTGCCTTCTGCTCAGATCATGACCCTGGGATCCTGGGATCGAGCCCCACTTCGGGGCTCCCTGCTCAGTGGGGAGTCTGCTTCTCCCTCTGCCTCTGCCCCTCCCACTGCTCAGGCTCTCCCTCTTTCTCTGTCAAATAAATTTAAAAAAACTTTTTTTTTTAAAGGTTTTATTTATTTATTTGACAGAGAGAGACACAGCGAGAGGGGACACAGCAGGGGGAGTGGGAGAGGAAGAAGCATGCTCTCTGCGGAGCAGGGAGCCCTATGCGGGGCTCGATCCCAGGACCCTGGGATCATGACCTGAGCTGAAGGCACAGACACATTAACGACTGAGCCACCCAGACACCCCTAAATTAAAAAAATCTTAGAAAAAAATATTCCCCCCAAAATATTTTTATTCAACATTGTTTCCTTCTCGAATGTATTATTTCCACTAATGGGAATATTTTATAGCCATTAAAAATGACAGCTACGATAAGCACACAAAGATATATGTATAAGAGCATTAACTTACACATTGTCATTATCAGTAACAGGATAAAACTAGAGACAATCCAAATGTCCATCAATAGGGATAGGTTAAATTGTACACCCATATAATTTAATATTATATAGTCATTAAAAGAACGAGGTCAATTCTATACCTAACATAGAAAGATGTTCAAGTTTCACTGTTCAGTGATAATAGCAAGTTGCAAAATAGATTGAATAGTGGGATCTTTTTTTTTTTTTAGTATAACAGTGAACATTATATCCTCTTATCTACAAAATAGAGATAAATATTAACTATATCTCACTGGGTTATTATGAGAATTAAATGAGTATATGCTTAGAAAACAATTTAGAGGAATATATACACTAAACTGTCATCCTGGTGGAGGAAGTGATTATAAGACACTCATTTTTTTTATGGAATACATTCAGTATAGTGGTTTCTTACAATGATCATGCATTACTTTTATTTCAAAAATGAAGATAAGGGGCGCCTGGGTGGCTCAGTTGTTAAGCATCTGTCTTCGGCTCAGGTCACGATCCCAGGGTCCTGGGATCGAGCCCCACATCGGGCTCCCTGCTCCGCGGAAAGTCTGCTTCTCCCTCTCCCACTCACCCTGCTTGTGTTGCCTCTCTCGCTGTCTCTCTCTGTCAAATAAATAAATAAAATCTTTAAAAAAAAAAAGAAGAAGATAAAAAGGTGGAACTAAAAACTATTTCTTCATCCCTCCTCCAATATAGTAGCTTAGACCACATGAGAATAGTAGCTTAGACCACATTTATGATATATGTGAAATGGGAAGAGGGAAGGGCAAAGAATGTAAAAATTGAAGTCAGTGATTTAAAAAATGTTTAAAGATTTTATTCATTCATTTGAGAGGGAGAGAGTGAGTGAGAGAGCGAGAGAGAGACAGAGACAGAGTGCACAAGTGGAGGGAGGGGCAACAGGAGAAGCAGACTCCCAGCTAAGTAGGAAGCCCAATGGGGGGCTCCATCCCAGGACCCTGAGATCAGGACCTGAGCCAAAGGCAGATGCCCAACCAAGTGAGCCAACCAGGTGCCCCCTTAGTATGGCTTTTAAAGACTATGCTCTATTAAAACTGGCCTAATCATACCCCAGACTTAACCCACCTTTCAAGTGCGCTTTCCCTTCCTATCTCAGCTGAAGTGATACTCACCTCATTCTAGCTGTTATACTCAGTTAATGTCTTCTTGGTCTTCCTATCTCCACTCTTGCACCTGTTCCAATCTATTCTCCAAGGGGAGTAAACTTTTGAGAACTCTTCATGTGTGATACAAAGGCTCTTTCTTATTTGGCCTCATCCCTTATCTCTACCCTCATCTCTCTCTACTCCTTTCCACAAACAAAATCTACTCCAGACACACAGAATTACTTGTAGAGCTCTGCTCACACTTTAATGCCTATACAGGTAACATTCTTTCTCCCTGGCACGTTCTTCCTGACCTCTTCTACATAGCTCTCTCAGTAATCATCTCACGTGGGAAGTGTCCTCTGACCCCTCAATCTCCTTTTTGTGTGTGTGTGTGCTTTGATAATGCCTTGCACAAATCTCTGCTGTTACCGTAATTACACAGTATTTCAATTGTTTATCCATCGCTTTCACTGGACTATGAGCTCTATAAGGACTTAGACTCAAACTTACTCACCTCCAAATGAACTGTGGCATATAAATTTCAATCCTACCATATCAAAATTTACAGTAGAGACAAAAATGAAAATAAGTAGGCCATTCAGATTCCATACTTTCTATGTAAAAGCATATTCGTTTTTTCATTCACTCAGTCAACAAACATTTATTTAGTACCTACTAGGGGCCAGGCACTTTGCCAAGCCTAGAGAGTTGGTGATGACAATACAGACATAAACACAGAAAGCACAAAAAGAATTCTGAAAGGGTACACCCAAAATGTTAAAATTCGCCATTAACATTTAGACTTTAGGGAAGATGTGAATAATTTATATCTTTTCCTTTAAAATCACCTCTATTTTCCTATTCTACCTTAATGAAAATGCATTAATTTATAATCACACACACATACATATATATGTGAGGTGTCCTCCCAAATTACAAATTCCTACCCATCAGTAGAAATACAATACCCATGGTAAATAATGTATAAATTTGTGAATCATAGCTAATGTGAAAGAAAAACAAATTTTGAGAACTTTTAATCAGATTCTAATTAAAGAATTCTAGTGGCGCCTGGGTGGCTCAGTCGTTAAGCGTCTGCCTTCGGCTCAGGTCATGATCCCAGCGTCCTGGGATCGAGCCCCACATCGGGCTCTCTGCTCTGCGGGAAGCCTGCTTCTCCCTCTCCCATTCCCCCTGCTTGTGTTCCTTCTCTCGCTATGTCTCTCTCTGTCAAATAAATAAATAAAATCTTTAAAAAAAAAAAAAAAAGAATTCTAATATAGGGGGCCTGCATGGCTCAGTTGGTTGAGCGGCTGCCTTTGGCTCAGGTCATGATCCTGGAGTCCCGGATCGAGCTCTGCATCAGGCTCCCTGCTTCTCCCTGTCCCCTCCCGCAACTCATTCTCGCTTTCTCTCTCTCTCTTTCTTTGTCTCTCAAATAAAATCCTTTTAAAAAAATTTTTAAAAATAAAATTTAATTAAAAAAAAAGAATTCTAATATAAAGAGCAAAACTAAAGTATGCAAAAATACTTCAGGATTTCCACAGTCCCTACTTTTGAAAAAGATCCCATGCAAACTGTCCGAGGAAAACAATGACCACAACATCAATACCACCAGTTTTCCACACTGCAGAAAGAAAATTATGTCATTGTATTCCACTTAATGCAGAAGAGATGACAGCCTCTCTACAATTTATTCAGAAGACAAATTAATAAATAACACCATATTTCATCTGTATAATGATTTACAGTTTATAGTTCACAAAGTACTTTGACCTTCAAAATAACTGTTTTCTTGTTCCCACTGCATAGATAAAAAGTGAAGGATGAAAATGGAGAAGGCCTTTCTAACTATGACTCAAAATCCAAAAGCCATAAAAGAAAAGATTAAGAAATTTGTCTACATAAAAAAGAAAAATTTGTCTACATAAAAATACATGTAAATCTAAAAGTTTTTCATGGGAATAAAATAAAAGAAGTCAGAAGACAAATATCAAAATGGGAAAATATTTGTAACACATAATACATACCACAGGAAAAAATATATCACATATGTATGAACTATATAAAGTATATATGTGTGTATGTACATATGTATAATATATAAAAAGAAACAGAAATTAATAGAAAAGAGACCTATGACAACAGATAAATAAGAATTTAAACAGGTAGTTTATAGAAAATGAAATATGAATAACTCAAACAACATAAAAAGATGCTTAACTTTAACATTATTTTTTAAAACTTAAAACTACTCTGGGTACCATTTTTCTCTATCAAACTGGCAAAAATTCAACTTTGATAACAGCAAAGCATAATATTAACAACGCTGATCCTAGAGCCAGAGTGCTTAGTTTGAATTTCTGCCACAGTACCTGTATGATCTGGGCAAGTCTCTTAAATTCTCTTCCTCAATTTATTCACCTGAAAAATAGAAACAATAATAGTACCTATCTCAAAGGGATATTAGTAAGATTAAATGAAGTAATATATATAAAGCAGTTTGAATAGTATCTAGCACATAGTTAGCACCTTGTAAGTATTAGCTATGATACAGCTAATGTTGGTGAGTGAACAGGCAATGTATATTAGAACAACCTCTAAGGAAAGCAATTTGGCAAAATTTCATAGTTATAAATGCATATATCCTTTGACTTAGAAATCCCACTTTCTGGGGTGCCTGACAGCACCTGCCTTCGGCTCAGGTCATGATCCCAGGGTCCTGGGATCAAGCCCCGCCTGCCTTGAGCTCCCTGCTCAGCGGGGAGTCAGCTTCTCCCTCTCCCTTTGCCCCTGCCCCCGCTCATGCTCTCTCTCATGCAGGCACTCTCACTCAAATAAACAGAATCCTTTTTTTAATAAAGATTTATTTATTTATTTCAGAGAGAGAGTGCACGGAGGGGCAGAGGGAGACAGAAAGGAAGAATATTAAGCAAGATCCACGCCCAGTGCAGAGCTCAACACAGGCTCAATCCCACAACCCCCAGATCATGACCTGAGCCAAAATCACAAGTCCGATGCTTAACCAACTGAGCCACCCAGGTACCATAATAAATAGAATCTTTAAAAGAAAAAGAAAAAAAAAAGGGGGGCACCTGGGTGGCTCAGTCAGTTAAGTGCCTGCCTCCGCTCAGGTCACGAACTCGGGGTCCTGGGATCAAGCCCCGCATCGGGCTCCCTGCTCAGTGGGAAGTCTACTTCTCTCTCTCCCTCTGTCACTCTCCCTGCTTCTGCTCTCTCGCTTTCTCTCTGTCAAATAAATAAATAAAATCTTTTTTTAAAAAGCAATTAAAGGGGCGCCTGGGTGGCTCAGTCGTTAAGCATCTGCCTTCGGCTCAGGTCATGATCCCAGGGTCCTGGGATGGAGCCCAGCATCAGGCTCCCTGCTCCGCGGGATGCCTTCTTCTCCCTCTGCCACTCCCCCTGAGTGTGTTCCCTCTCTCGCTGTGTCTCTCTCTGTCAAATAAATAAATAAAATCTTTTAAAAATTTTTTAATTGCTTTTTAGTATTTATTTATTTTTTAAAGATTTTATTTATTTATTTGATAGAGACACAGCAAGAGAGGGAACACAAGCAGGGGGAGTGGGAGAGGGAGAAGAAGGCTTCCCGCAGAGCAGGGAGCCTGATGCTGGGCTCCATCCCAGGACCCTGGGATCATGACCTGAGCCGAAGGCAGACGCTTGATGACTGAGCCACCCAGGTGCCCCAAAAGCAATTAAAAAATTTTTTTTTAATTATCACAAGTAGGCCTCTAACTGAAACAACCACCCACTCTGAGTGCTCAGCAAAAATAATACTAATGAGACCACACTGAAGTCATCTCCATATGATGACTTGGAAAATAGTATAATACCCATTGTTGGTCCAAAACAGTCAGCATCACCCACATTATACATTGTAATAATCGGGCTTCATTTACTGCAAGGAGATGAAATTCTCATAAAGGCCTTTATCATAGATTTCAAATTCCAACACAAAGTTCATTTTGCTGAACAATGAAGTGTACAACACTAAGAATATATCTACAAACACTTTCACATAGGGGAAAAAAAAAACATTAAATCAAGTCAGCTTTCTACTCTAAGTAAGCCAGGGAATGAGTACATGTAAATATGTAATTTTCCGGGCGCCTGGGTGGCTCAGTTGGTTAAGCGACTGCCTTCGGCTCAGGTCATGATCCTGGAGTCCCTGGATCGAGTCCCAAATCGGGCTCCTTGCTCTGCTTCTCCCTCTGACCCTCCCCCCTCTCATGTGCTATCTCTCTCTCATTCTCTCTCTCAAATAAATAAATAAAATCTTTAAAAAAAAATACGTAATTTTCCTTTTACAATTAACATAAGCACAGGGATGCCTGGGTGGCTCAGTCAGTTAAGCGTCTCCCTTGGACTCAGGTCATGATCCCAATGTCCTGAGATCAAGTCCCACATCCGGCTCCTTGCTCAGCAGGGAGCCTGCTTCTCCCTCTGCCTGCCACTCCCCCTGCTTGTGTGTGTGCGCGCTCTCTCTGTCTGACAAATAAATAAATACTTTAAAAAAAAATTAACATAAGCACGAAATGTTGTTGGGGATTCTGGGGTAGAGAGTCCCTAGCTTAGTCTCCCAACATATACACTTTTAAACACAATTGAATAGGCCCACCAAAAGATTTTTGAAACCATCCCCATTATACATCTGTACGAGAGAATAAGATATCATAGATCCAGGGCACAGGAACTTGACATTAATTCGCACAAACATCTATATCACCTAGTACTACTTTCCTTTTTTTTAAGATTTTATTTATTTATTTGTCAGAGAGAGAGAGAGCGAGAGAACACAAGCAGGAGCGGCAGGCTCCTGATGTGGGACTCGATCCCAAGTCCCTGGGATCATGACCCAAGCCAGAGGCAGGTGCCTAACCCACTGAGCCACCCAGGCGTCCCCTAGTACTACTTTCTTTCTTTTTTTTTTTTTTTAAGATTTTATTTATTTATTTGAGAGAGAGAGAATGAGAGACAGAGAGCATGAGAGGGAGGAGGGTCAGAGGGAGAAGCAGACTCCCCGCTGAGCTGGGAGCCCGATGCGGGACTCGATCCCGGGACTCCAGGATCATGACCTGAGCTGAAGGCAGTCGCCCAACCAACTGAGCCACCCAGGCGCCCCCCCAGTACTACTTTCTAACAAGTAACAAGGAACCTCCGATTCAATCCTGGGTCCCTCAGTTCTGAGCAGCCCCACCTATAGAACCCAGTATCTCCTCTGTTCCATTTCCTGCTATCATACTAGGCAATTATGACATCCATACCAATGACATATTCAACATACTTCACAGTCCCGTAACCTCCTACTACTTCAATAACCTGTACTTCCATTCCCCTTCAACAGCACTATAACAGTTATATCCTGTTTTGTTTTGTTTAAGATTTTATTTATTTATTTGACAGAGAGAGAGCACAAGCAGGGGGAGCTGCAGCGGGAGAGGGAGAAGCAGGCTCTCCGCTGAGCAGGGAGCCAGATGCAGGGCTCAATCCCAGGACCCTAAGATAATGACCTGAGCCGAAGGCAGACGCTTAACTGACTGAGCCACCCAGGCACCGCTATACCCTGTTGTTGTTTTTTTATCTTGAAATAATGAACTCTCAGCTGTCCCATTCTATATTTTTTTTTTTGTAGTAATCTCTAAACCAGTTGTGGGGCTCAAACTCACAACCCCAAGAGCCACATACTCCTCCTCTGACTGAGCCAGCAAGGCACCCCTCCCCTTCTGTATTTCTTAAAGAACCTGGTCTTCAACCACATTTCTGATTGTCTCCTTATTCTCCAAGTACACTGGCCCTTCTGAAGGTTTTACTTCTTAAAACCCCAGCTTGGACTCTCAGACTCCATCATAATTCCCACACCATTACTAGCATTGTAAAGTTACTCTCCTTTTTATCTTCCTTTCTCATATATTCCAATTCTGGATCAACCCAACCATCTTTTCTGCACTCCCACTCTTAGGCTGCTGGAGAAAGTGTAAAATCCATGCTACTGGGCCCCATTACAAATACATTATTTCTAACTTTTACTAGGCCCTCAATGGTGTCAGCAATCTTTTTTTTTATCCTTAATCTATTTTCATTTTCCATTGAAGATTTCCATGGCCCTAATACTCACCATAGTTCCTTCAGTCTCCAGAAATAATTGACTTCTCTACAGATAACTAATCACATCAAGAAAATAAGACCATCTGTCACACTCCCCCACGTTCTTTTCCTTCTACCACATTATCCATCTTAACTTCTATCCTTTTAGTATCAAAGAATGAAATGCCCTGGGGCCCTGCTCATGCTCTCGCTCACTATCTCTGTCTCCAATAAATAAAATCTTTAAAAAAAAAAAAAAAATGAGGGCGCCTGGGTGGCTCAGTCGGTTAAGCGACTGCCTTCAGCTCAGGTCATGATCCTGGAGTCCCGGGATCGAGTCCCACATCGGGCTCCCTGCTCGGCAGGGAGTCTGCTTCTCCCTCTGACCCTCCCCCCTCTCATGCTCTCTGTCTCTCATTCTCTCTGTCTCAAATAAATAAATAAAATCTTTAAAAAAAAAAAAATGAAATGCCCAACATATTTCCTAGATAAAATTTCCCCTCAACCTACAAAACTGTTTCACCCATACTAAAAAAAACCCCACACACACGTGCCATAGTGGAAAGTTCAAATTCTTGCCTACAGGCTTCCCAGTTGTAAAAGAGGAATACTGATACCTAAACCACAAGGCTGGTGTGATCTATAAAGCATCTTTACAGTACCTGACATAGAGTATATTCTCAATAAAGACGTTACCAGCAGCTCTCTTTCACAACCACACTTGCTGAAAGAGTAATTTTCCTCACTGCCTCCCATTTGTTCCTCAATCCATCTCACATTGCCACCATTGCACTATTCAAAGTGTCTTTCAGAGGGAAAAAGTGATCTCCTAATTGCTAAATTCAGTGGTTTCTTTCTAATCATCATTCTACTTGAGCTTTGCAGCACCTAACAGTGATGGTCATCCCCTCCCATATTGAAACCCTTCTTCCTTTGGTCTCTATTATAATGCTATTCTATTCTTATTCTTGTCCCATTCCTTTAACCTCTGTTTCTCAGTGTCTATTACCCTTCAAACAATGATGTTCCTTCTGGTCCACAGCCCTTTTCTTCTTTCAGTATTACCATCCCATACTAAGTCTTCAAATATCCCTGTTTTATATTCTCTGTTGACCCTCAAATTTATGTATTCAGTTCCAACCTCACTCCCAATTTTCAGACCCAAATTTCCAGCAAACCACAGTGATATCTGAAAAACACCTCAAATTAAACATGTCCAAAACGAAATTAATTACCTTCCCTCAAAACTGCTTCTTTATGTTCCCTATTACAATTAACACTACCAATGCATCCCACCAACAAAGTCAGAAACCTCCACTAACCCTCTCAACTCTGGAAACTTCATGGAATTGAAACCTCCTGGAAGTGCATGCCACCCTCTTCATTTTCCTACCACTATTCCAGTTCACCCCCTCTGACCTGGATTAGCACACTGGTTTCCTGCCTACCTAGGCTTTCTACCTCAACACTGTCTTCACTTTCAATTCTTCCTCCACAGGCTCACCAGAGATAATCAATCACACCAAACTCCTGCTTACAAAACTTTCAGTGGCTCCCCATACCTACAGAATAGAGTCCAAATTCTTCAGCAAGGTTTTCTCAGAGTTATAAACGGCAAGGTCTCTAAATCAGACAAACATGGGTTTCATTTCTAGCTAAATCTAAATACTGGCTTAGTCCAGAGTCTTCCAAGTGAAGTGTAAAAGACAGAAGAGGGAAAAGGAAGGATGGGGAGAATAAGGATGACAGGAGGAGGGAAAAGAGAGGGACGCGGTAGTGTCTTGGGGAGGGGTGGGGGGTGAGGCCAGAGTACTTTAACGTAGAAGGGGAAAGTTTCCAGGGAAGAGTATGTTTGAGGGAAGTAAAGTGAAGGAGTCCAGATCTCTGAGGGACGAGGGAGGCTCTCTGTGTGGAGCTGGAGCTATCTGAAACAAGAGTTCTCCGAGAAAATGAGGGCTTCCTGAGTCTCTCAAGCGAGAAAAGTCCCTGAGAAGAGTCAAGGACCAGGTCCCTGATAACGAAGGAACTTCTAATGGGTTCCCGGCCTCTGAGGCGAGGAAGCGGGGGGGGGGGGGGGGGGGGGGGGGGGCTGTCCCGGGTCCCTGAGGAAAGTGAAAAGGGAAGGGAAAGGGATCGAGGAGTATCCCCCAGCCGCTCAGAGGAGGACCTTGGGAAGCGAAGGGGTCCTGTCGGTGCTGAGAGACCCTAGCGCCAATGCTCCGGAGCCGTGGCGGCGTAGGAGCCGCGCGCGCGGGCCGGGGCGCCCCGGGCTTGTGCCCTATGCGCTCTCTTGGCGTTACCTGAGGCGGGACTGAGCAGCCAGAGGGGTGCCGGCGCGGGCGGGAGGCGGAGGCAACAGCAAAGTGGGAGCATAGTAGCCCTCACAGCTCGGAAGCGGCAGAGGCTCTTAGCCTGCGGAGGTGGTGGGGATCCCTCGCGCAGAAGCCGGCGACTCGGCGGAACTAGCGGCAGCGAAGGACGAGGAGGCTACTGCCATGGCCCCGCAGTCGGGACCGTTCCCCCCGTCCGTTTGGCGGGGCCAGGAGGATGATCCCAACGGCGAGCCAGAAAAGGCAGCTGAACCTCCGCTGAGCTCCGCGGCCGCGAGCGACTGAAACGCCTGCCCAGCCAGGCAGGGGGACTTGGGCGGGGCTTAAGGTGAGCACGCCCCTCTCCTCAAGCCTCCGAGCAGCCAATCAATCGTCAATCTTTGATAAACGAGCTAGTGGAATTACCCAATTAGCATTAGGAATGCCACGTGGTATGAGGGTGGCCTCAATAGGCGTCCGGGAAAGCCAATCAACAGCCCTAGGCGCCAACTCTGGAAGACTGTAAGACGAAGAGAACCAATAGGAAGGAAGAGGAGGTTAAAAACAGAAGGGGCAGTGTGTTGGAAAGGCGGAACCAAGGAGGAGGGAATACACCTGGGGGAAACCCAAGTCCCAAACCTCCACCGCGGGGGGGGGGGGGGGCGGGGGAACAGTAAACACGAGAGAGAACAATCATTGGTAATTAATAAAACAGAAAATGGATTCCACTGACGCGGCTTTTCGGTTGGTGAAGGGTATAGCTAAGTAAGGACTACCTGAATAAAGAAAACCGATATGAACGCAGAATCCTGCAGGACCTCAGTATAGTGTAAAAACTGATACATAAACTATTATTAGCTACATGAGATAGTAAGAGCAATGGGTAGGGTTAAAATGCTGAGGCAGCTATTCATCTAGACTGAGATTTGATTTGGTGAAGGCTTCTTGGAGGTGATAACACTTGGGCTGGCTTGAAAACTGAAATTTTTGGAAAAAGCTGCATACGGAATAAGAATTCTGTTCAACATGCACATATTTCCTTCCTCGTGCTTTCCATATACCTGGACTTCAGGTGCTCATAATCTCACGCCTGAGCAGATTGGAACAGGGCTAGAGCTTCCAGGGCGAGAGCAGGCAAAGAAACACTGGAGTATGGGCCTTCCTGCACCAGTACTCCCTTGGATAAGAGACCTCTTTTCAGACATCTTTAGACGTGCCTCCTACTGTCAGGGTCTTGACAGATGAGTGGGATTTGAATAGGAGTATAGGTGGTGTACATTCCTGCGGCAATAAAGTTTAAGAAATGTATGATTTCATTCATATGTGGAATCTAAAAAACAACGAATGAATAAACAAACAAAAAGCATAACCAGACCTGTAGCCTGGTTATGGAGGCTACATATGGAGAACAAACTGATGGTTGCTGGAGAGGACAGGGACACAATGGGTGAAGGGGAGTGACAGGCTTTCGGTTATGGAATGAATAAATCATGAGAATAAAAGGCACAACATAAGGAATGTAGTCGATGATATTATATTAGCATTGTGTGGTAACAGATGGTAGCTACACTTGTGGTGAGCATATCATAATGTATAAACTTGTCCAATCACTATGTTGTACACCTGGAAGTAATGTATTATTGTGTGTCAACTACACTTAAATTTAAAAAAATTTTAAAGATATGTGATAGGAGACAATAGAGGTTAAATGTGGGCTTAAATGCCTAATTTGTCCTTTCTATTTTATGCTGTGGGAACTGTCAAAGGTTCTTGAGCAGAATAGCCTTAACAGGATACTGTTTTAGTTAGATTAATTGGTAGCTCACAGTATCTCCAAAAGGAGAAAAAAAAAATCACCCCAGCCCAGTACCATTGGCCCAAAGCCTTTTCTGTATCATTCTTATGGCAATACATAATGTGCTGCCACCTGGTGACAGTTCAAATACCATTGTTCCACATTGCTATTGAATTTTTCTGTTGTTAGAGCCCTGGCACTCTTGCAAACCTGTCTCCCACAAAGCCTGATGCAAAGTAGTTGATAAATAAGTACAGCACTTGTACCAAGTAGAATTGAATAATGCCATCATACCAGATGTATTATTTGCCCAAAGAAAGATGTAAAAGACAAGGATTACTTGTACCTTGAGTAGGAAGATGAGCCTTGATGGCAAGTATTTAATTCTTTGAACAAGTTCTGTTTGACCCAAGCCTGATCTCTACCATTCCACTCTCGGCAATCTCTTTTTTCTTTTAAGATTTATGTATTTATTTGAAAGAGAGGGAAAGATTGAGGGGGGAGGTATAGAGAGTGGGAGAGAATCTCAAAGCAGACTCCCCACTTAATCCCATGACCCTGAGATCATGAGAAAGAGTTGGACGCTTGACTGACTGAACCATCCAGGTGCCCCTCAGCAATCTCCTCAATACTGAGGGGAAAGAACCAAGGAATGCCTTACAGCTATTCAGGTGTCAAAGGTCCACTCTTCATGACCTGTCTGCTACTTAGGCCAAGGCCTTGAATATACCCCATAACAGGAAGTGGTTCCTACCTACTCATTTCACCCTTTTATTATGCTTTTATTTCAGATAATTGTCTCCTCTTCCCAGCTAGATGGAGCTAAGAGCTGGGACCCTTATGAGCCCACTGTACATCTTAGCTGAGGGCAAATACATACCAGGGCTGGTATGTACTATGCTCAATAAATATCCACCTTCCTTGTCTATATTTAGCAGTGGAAGAGACCTCATGAGATCTTAGTGGGATGCTGCTGCTTCTAAGGAAATCTTGGACTACATTGTCTAGAATACAAAATCTAGGTAAGGTGAAAGTAAAGCTGCCCTTAGTCTACATAGAAAGATATACTTCCAACCAAGTGCTGGAAGGATTAGAACCAATAGCCACAAGGCCTATTTTTTAATATAATAGGAAATATCAGAGTACATCACTTCTAGTGATTCAATGAGTATTAAATCATGAAATCTGGGGGCGCCTGGGTGGCTCAGATGGTTAAGCGTCTGCCTTCCGTTCAGGTCATGATCCTGGGGTCCCAGGATCGAGTTCTGCATCGGGCTCCCTGCTCAGCGGGTGGTCTGCTTCTCCTTTTCCCTCTGTGCTCACACGCTCTCGCTCTCTCTCTCTCAAATAAATAAATAAAATCTTTTAAAAAAATAAATCATGAAATTTGTTTTATTTAGTAAATATATACATGTATGTATCATTTAACAAATATATACATGTATATTTACCACAATGTAAACTGTATTTCTTACCAGAGGTCTCAGTCAAAAAATTTTAAAAGCCACTGGATTAGAGGCAGAAACTGAAAGAAAAGAGATTAGGAAACTACTACAAAAATGCAAGCTGGGTTGGGCTGCTGAGGATGAAGCGGTGTGGCGGGACTGGAGTAAGCCTTAAGAGGCAGAAGCTGACGATGAGGAGAGGAAGCCTTCTACTACTCAGGTCCAAGGCCTACCTGAATGCCTCGCTCTCCTCTGCATCCCCATAGCAACACTGCCCCAGAGCACTGTCCTACTTCATTCTACCCACCAGAACGGGAGCTCCCATCTTCTTCCAAGTTCCACTAAGCACAGGGCTTGCACTCAGAAGGTACAGCTATAAATATCTATGAACTTGGATTTCAGAGAGAGAGAGATGGCAGGAAGCAGTCAAGTAACAGGAGAAAGAAAAGGTACAGTTAAGTCTATCCCATGTAGGTGCTGATTCACAGAAGATATCAGGGAAGGTTAAAACGTTTTATTGCAGTTGGTGGACAGGGATGGGCAGGCAGTGACAAGCCTCAGTAGGGAGGGCAGATACCAACTAGATCAAGAAGAGGGGCAGGGGGCCCAGAAACAAGGCCTTGGAGGGGAAGGTGAGCAAAACTACTCTTTCAAGTCCTTACAGGTCACTCAGGAACGTTGTGAGGCCCTTAAAGAAGAGGTTCTCCTGCTCAAGGCTCTGGGCCTAGAGCTGTAAGCTGCTGGGCTCCAGTTTAGAAAGTGTGCTCCTCTGGAGATCTAAGAGGAGAGAAAAGGAAGAGAAAACAAACCATCAGCAAGCACTATGATACACATAGAACTAAGCCCTGGGCCTGTCTGATGGGGAGGAACAGACAGGCCTAACTTGGGACAAGTAATAACAGAAGATGATGGATTCACCAAAAAAGAGGCAGAGATTCCATCTACCCAGTGCCAAACAATTAGGCAACAGACACCCACACACCATTCAGATTCAGCCTCACCCAGTCCTGGGATCCCTGCCCTTACCCCTACCTAGCTTCCTTAAAAGTTCCCAGCCACTCTTACTGTCCAGAAGACTGACTTCAGAGCTAGATGAAGAAAGAGATGTGGCAAAGGTGGCAGCCACAGGCAGCTTAGATTGGAGGATGTGAACGGAGGTCCTGGAAAGGGGAACAGAATCAGAGGCAGAAATGGTGATTGTGGGGGCGCCTGGGTGGCTCAGTCATTAAGCGTCTGCCTTCGGCTCAGGTCATGATCCCAGGGTCCTGGGATCAAGACCCGCATCGGGCTCCCTGCTCAGCGGGAAGCCTGCTTCTCTGTCTCCCACACCCCCTGCTTGTGTTCCCTCTCTCACTGTGTCTCTGTCAAGTAAATAAATAAATAAAATCTTTAAAAAAAGAAAAAATGGTGATTGTGGGACAAGGGGACCCTCCCAGCACAGAACTGTCCTCCATCCTGAGGCCAGGACTCCAGTCTCTTCCCTCTTCATCCTCTGAACATACCTCAGTGACCCTGTATCAAGTAAAGAATGCCCAGTACTATTTTATAGGCTGTAATCCAGATATTCATACCACCCTACCAACCCATGTCAAATCTAGGATAGTTGAGGGGCACCTGAATGGCTCAGTTGGTTGAGCGTCCGACTCTTTTTTTTTTTTTTTAAGATTTTATTTATTTATTTGACAGGGAGAGAAAGACACAGAGAGAGAGGAAACACAAGCAGGGGGAGTGGGAGAGGGAGAAGCAGGCTTCCCGTGGAGCAGAGAGCCTGATGTGGGGCTCGATCCCAGGACCCTGGGACCATGACCTGAGCCAAAGGCAGACGCTTAACGACTGAGCCACCCAGGCGCCCGAGCATCCGACTCTTGATTTCAGCCCGGGTCATGATCTCAGGGTTGTGGGGTCAAGACCCACACTGGGCTCTGCACTCAGCGCGGAGTTCTCTCTCTAAGCGCTTGAGATTCTCTCTTTCCCTCTCCCTTTGCTCCTCCCCCTGCTCACGCTCACTCTCTCTCTCTCTCAAATAAATAAATAAAATCTTTTTTAAAAAATCTAGGATAGGGCGCCTGGGTGGCTCAGTCGTTAAGCGCCTGCCTTCGGCTCAGGTCATGATCCTAGGGTCCTGGGATCGATCCCCACATCAGGCTCCCTGCTCTGCGGGAAGCCTGCTTCTCCCTCTCCCACTCCCCCTGCTTGTGTTCCCTCTCTCACTGTGTCTCTCTCTGTCAAATAAATAAAATCTTAAAAAAAAAAAAAAATCTAGGATAGCTGAACTTTGGTCCCCAATGCCTGGCCTCTGAGACAAATCCCTTCCACTGCCATAAGCACCTGCAACCCCTGACCTATGGAGGTTGTGTTTATGCCGGGCATCCTGTGCCTCTGTCCTGGCAGCCTCCAGGGTGTGATCCTTGCCCTCCTGCCACTTTGCAACTGCTCCAACATCTGCCAGACCACAGACCCAGGTAGGACCAAACCTCTCCCTCTGCAGGAGGAATCCCCCTCCCCACCATTGGCGTATTCAGCACACATGGAACTCTCATGTGGGCAATGACATTTTCTCAACCTGGAGAAGAGAGCTTGGGAAGAAGAGCTTGGGAGGGAGGTACAGTCACCACAGGCAAGAGAGGAACAGATAGGGGTAGAAAAGAGTATCCTGGCCTACCTGCAGAACAGAAAAGACAGAGAAGAAAGGAAGGGGCCTCCACAGGGAGATATGAAGAGATAGGTCTGATCCTAGTCCTACCTTCCAGCTGTGGGCCTGAGCTTGCTGCCCCTCAGCCATCTGCTTCAGCAGCAGCTCCTGGTGCTGGCCTTCAGATGAGAGAAAAATGTAAGGAAGCTATTCTCCAACTTCTTTCCTTTCCCCTCCCTGCCTTGTGCCTAGCCTGGTGCTGACAACTGAGACAGAGTATTCTGGTGTAGCTATTGGGAAGCTTCCAAGCTGACTGGGGAGACTGTACTCACACCATGGAGGTAAGACAAAACACTTGGCCAGACTTCTGAGCAGCTCAAGCAATCAGAGCTATGGCCACTTACTGGGATAGCAAAAAGACTCTCCAGAAAAGAGAACAGGTGAATTTTCACCCACCCCTCATCTTTTACTCACTCAGCTGGTCCCGCAGCAGCTTCAGCTCCTCCCAAAGAAGCTCTGATTCCTCCCACAGGAGTTGCCGCCTACACAGATGACAGCCATGTTAACCTAAAGCCCATCAACAAGCCCAGAGGACACTACCAGGAGTTAAGAGGCCTGAAGAAGGAGAGAACTTGCCCATCACATACTCATTCTGCAGCTCTTGGTGAAGGCCACTAGAAGCACTGCACTTTCGTGGTCCTGTTTGTATTTGGGCTTGGGCCTGTTCCTGCACCTGGCTTTGAAGGCCCTGCAGTTCCCTTCTCAGCCCCTCCAGGCGTTGCTCCAGGAGGAGGGCCCTCTGCTCTGGGCCTCCCTGCAGCAACCTTAGTGATGCTGTAGTGGGACAAGTTGAGCGTCAGCCCTCCTGAGAGCTTTACACATGAGTCTAGACACTCCCCTTGCAAATCAAGACATAAGTAAGTGCACAGGAGGTGTGTAACAAAATCGTGTGCGTACATAATGAGCTATGCATATGAAAAAAAGAACTGGCCAGATACCTTCCAGGGCACAGATCTGGTATTTCTGCTGCTCTCGCTCTTCCAGCAGCCCCTGTACGGCCTTAGTGCCTCAGTCACCTACCCAGGCAAGAAAAACCACATGAGCTACTGTGTAAAGGGCTTCCCCAACCCCTGATATCCTCATCTCACACAAACACCACACATAAAACCGAGGGGTGCACGCTTTACCTGAGCCTGGGATTGAAGCTGGGATCGGAGAATAGTAACTTCATCCCAGAGAGAAGCTGCTCTTTGGGTCTCAGCCCAACTCAGCCTCTCTGGAACAAGGGAGTCTCTAGAGCCCAAGGTTGTGGAGCTTGGACACCAGACTATGGAGGCAAGTGATGAGGGGAAATCCAGGTCCCAGCCAGGTCTCCTGTGGAGGGAATAAGTAAGGGACAATTGTGAGGGCTATCTTTGGGGGAAAACACAGATGTTTGTTCAGGAAAGAAAACAGTTGGAATTTGGAAGGAATAGTGGATGGTACAGGCACTGGAAAAAGGCAGATCCTGGAAAGAGAAAAGGCTGGAGGGTAGAAAAGGGACAACACTTACCTGCTGTGGAGACTCCAAGAGGATACAGTCGCTGCTACAAAAGAAACAAGTGCACAGGCCAATAAGTTCTGAGTGTCCCTAAACCCAAAACTCCAGATGGGGGCCCTTAGGCGCCCCCTCACGTTAATCCTGGCCACATTTCCATCAGTAGCATTGAGAAGTGCGCCGAGGTGCTCAGACCAGCTCAGGCTCCTACTCATAACCTTCTGCGAGGCTGCCTCCTGGCGTCTTGTGCCCTTGCTCTCCCAGCCCGGAATACCCGAGGTACAGCCCAATAAAGCCACACGTCAGACAGAGAGTGGGAATCGGGGATGTAATCCTAAAGGTAGGGATGCAGTATCAAGCCGAAACTGGGACTAGTCAGGGGAACAGCGCTTGGGGTAAGGAGGGGAAAAGCGAGATACACTGGTATGCAGATACCAGGTGGGAGTTGAGAGTGCCAAATCTTGTTCGAGACCTCTCCAGATCCAAGACACAGGCGTCATCTCGCCGAACCTGTGCCAGCGAGTACAGCCGCCACCCGGTTCAAACCCTCTTTATAGACCGGGAAAGTCCGACTTCGGACTTGCAGCCGCAGCGCCACTTGGTCAACTGAGTTCGTCTCTCCCGGAGATAACCGGCGATGGAGGCTACCGAACTACGTTTCTCTGGAAGCGACACGAACGTTCAAACCCCCACCGTGAAGCTTGCCGGGAAACTGAGGCTTTCGAATTCTGTAGTTGTTGTCTTCAAGAACCAAGTGAACTACATATCCCAGGATGCATGGCACCGAGTCACCGCTATTCCACCGCTGGTCCCAGTAGTTCTTGGGAAATGGAGTCCGAGCTACCTTGAAACTTAACGGACCAGGTTATCCTTGAGACTCCATTCCCCAGCAAGCTCTGCGCGTAGCGTGCGCTATGGAGCCTCAAGTCGCAGAACTGAAGCGGACTATCGAGGACACGTTGTGTCCTTTTGGCTTCGAGGTTTACCCGTTTCAGGTTGGTTTATCCCTCCTGCGGTGCGGGGCGAGGTGTATGATTGGCCTGGGTGCTACTGGCGTGAAGCCCCAGTCTTCTGGTCCTTCCCGAGCTCCTCTGGCCCCATGTCCCTCTGACCTATCGGGACAGGGTGTCAACGGCGACTTTGTTAAAAAAGTAGAGAAACGGTCGTACGTTTGTCCTTTTACCCCCATATAATGCCATATTGATGAATGGGAGAAACATAATCCAGTAATCTTGTGGCTCTGCCACCTCCATAATTCAGAGGAAGAAAGTGACCTCTGGAGCCAGTCACTTTAGAAGCTTCCTAAAGGAATTAGGATAGGGCAAGGCCTGGAAGGTTTGCGTAGCTAATATTTAGGCCATCTGAGAAGGGAAGGGCATTCTTGTTGTTGAACAAGCGAACAATTGGCTGGTTTGTTCCATCTGTCAACAGAAGGATAATTCATGATATTGCCAATCACCAGCGCTGGGCTGGATACAGAAACTGTGCACTTGCCTGACACAGAAGTCTGGCACCACCACCTACCCTTGTTTACATAGATCCATTTCCCCCTTATCCAGTACCCCCTGTACTGAGCTGTGTGCTTGGACAAAGCTAAATCAACTCAGCTTGAGCCCTTTGCCTGATGCTTAAGAGACAGCCCACTTCCACCCCTTCCACTGAGTGGCCCACAGCAGTGCTGTTAAAGAATATAGAGGAAGAGAGGTAGGTTGGTTCTAGCTTAAGGACTAACCAGAAAAAATGGAGTTGAGCTTCATGTGAAAAGAAGGAAAGAGGATTATGTACATCCCAAATATCAGGAACAGCTTGAGTAAAAGTGTGGAGGTAGTGATGGATGGCAGGTATGGAGAGAGTGAGAATGACTGGTGGGTCAGGTAGACCTGGGTGGGTAATGGGAGTTATTGTACTGAACAGAGCCAGTCATCCTGGACTCCTACTTCTCATCCCTTCCCTCCCCCATATCCAGTCAGACACCAAGCCCTTTAGGAATCTGTTACCTGAATCTCCCAAATCCATTCCCTTCCTTTTAGCCCCTCTATGCTCTGGTCCAGGCCAGTATTCGTCACTTGGATTACTGCAGTAACTTGCTTGCTATCATTGTGTATGCAATCCATCCTCCACACTGCAGCCACATCTTTCTAAAACTGATGATGTCGGTTTACTCCTTAAATCTTCGATGGCTAGCCCCTTGTCACCAAATTAAACCCATATTCCTTAAATTGGTATTCTAGGCCAGCCATAATCTCAAACCTACTGATCTCCACCCCTCTCCAGCTCCCTTTTACAAACCGTTCACTTCTATCGAACTGGACAATTTGCTATTTTCCAAATATGACCTTTTTGCATGTCTTTGTTAATGCTGTGACCTCTATTTATAATGCATAATGGAATCTCCCTCCTCACATCGTCTGTCAGATTCCTTCCTAGCCTTCAAAACAGCTTCCAAGAAGCCTTTTCTAATTTCACAGGACCCTCATTTGGCCCTGTCATTGCACTAATCACAGTATAATTTCTTTTGGTTCTTAGTTCATGAATCCTCTGCTTCTCTATTCCAAATTCCCTGTCAAATTCCCCCATGGAGAAGTCCCCCGTAAGTATACATCATGTAGCATCTGTATAAACCCACTGACTGAATGAATGAGATGGAGACTGAGGCAAGATGTATGAGGCCTTGAATGCTAGGATAAGGTATGAGCCTAGCAAAAGTCTAAATTGGCCCTCCTGTGTGGCCTGAATTTTCTCTGTTCCAGGTGGCATGGTATAACGCACTCCTGCCTCCAACTTTCCACCTACCCCTGCCAGGACCGACCCTGGCCTTCTTGGTACTCAGCACACCTGCCATGTTTGACCGGGCCCTCAAACCTTTCCTGCAGAGCTGCCGCCTCCAACACCTGATTGACCCTGTGGACCAGTGTGTGGCCTACCACTTGGGCCGCGTTAGAGAGGTGAGCAAGGCTCATATATTCCCCCAGCTTCCAAACCGGTAGCCGCTTCCAGCTCTTTTAAGCTCAGTGCAGGACTAGAGCTACATAGAGCCAAGAGCCACTTCCCAGATAGGATATCCTAAAGCCATCCCTGATATTGTGATCTCTCCCCATTCTGCTTCATTTTACCCCAGTTTCAGCTCCCTTCTTCTAGCAGACCCCCAGGTCTGGAATAAATCTCACCCTACTCTGATGGTCAATTAATTACATGAACCTCAAACCAGACTTTCCTTGGCCTCCAAGTGAAATAGGAATAAGCCTAGCATCCCCTAAGCATCTCTCACCTGTCTTAGCCCTAGACTGGAAGTTTTGTGCTGTCTTCGGGGCCGAGGACAGAACAGTATTTCCCCACTACACACACATACACATACATTGGATCTCCCCAAAGCTGCGCCAGGTCTTCCTCCACACTGGGACTCTGGAAGGCAGAGACCAGTCACCCCTTATAATAAATTTTTTTTTAAGATTTATATAGAGAGAGTGCAAGGAGGGGCAGAGGGAGAGAGAGTCTTAGGCGGACTTTGTGCTGAGGGTGGAGCCTGACACACGGGGCTCAGTCTCCAGCCCCTGAGAGACCTGAGCCGAAATCAAGAGTGACACTCAACCAAGTGCACCACCTAGGCGCCCCAGCCCCTCATTATGGAAGCTTCTGAGCAAGACCTTGTTATTTCCCTTCAAACATGGGCCCTCCTGGACAGATCGTTTTCTTCACAGTGGACCCCCGCACCCCCAAGTTTAAGGTCATGCTTTCCCTTCAAATGATTTCTGAGGACAAGATCTTATTAACAAATATTAGAGCTCTCTCGGGCAAAGTCAGGATTCCTTTCGTGCTATTTGAAATGAGCTTCCATCTCTATCCCAGAACCTCCCAGAGCTGCAAATCGAAGTCATCGCTGACTACGAGGTACACCCCAATCGGCGCCCCAAGATTCTGGTCCAGACTGCAGCCCATGTGGCAGGGGCTGCTTACTACTACCAACGAAAGGATGTGGAGGCTGACCCCTGGGGGGACCAGGTCAGAGGGCAAGTATGAATGAGTAGGGACTGGGAGAAAATAGTGAAGGCCCCTCAAGATACCAACTAACATTCTTCCACCTCCCCTGGGTAAAGGATTTGGTAGACACACCACCAGGGAAAGATGTCAGGTATTGGTGTCTGGATGTCAGGTCAGTCAGGAGCCCAATCCCACATGCTTTCCGGAGTCTACCTGGGAACAGATGAGGTTACCTGGGAACAGATGAGGTCAGAGAACCTAGTCTGTTCTTAAAATCTGGTTACAGGATGGAGGGGGCAGAGCAGTGATTAGGAGACCAGTGGTGAAGACTGGGAAGTTGATGGAGGCTGTTTAAGGAACTCTCCTTCCGGCCAGAGTAAGCTCAAGAAAAGGGTAGTCCAGGAGAGGAAATGGGGGAGCCCAGCTACAAGAGTGGTTCAAATATGGAATCAGTGTCCTTTGAGAATTCAACAAGCCTAGTCTGCAATGATGGTAGTTGGACCTAGTGTCAAGTGACTTCCATGACGGTGCTTTTCTTTACCCTCCCAGCACATATCAGGTGTGTGCATACACCCCCGATATGGGGGCTGGTTTGCCATCAGAGGAGTGGTGCTGCTGCCAGGAATAGAGGTGCCAGATCTGACACCCACAAAACCCCTGGACTGTGTACCTAAGAGAGCTGACCGCATCACCTTGCTTGAAGGGTTTAACTTCCATTGGCGTGACTGGACATACCGGGATGCTGTGACACCACAGGAGCGCTACTCAGAAGAGCAGAAGGCCTACTTTTCTATTCCACCTGCTCAACGTTTAGCCTTCTTGGGTTTGGCCCAGCCCTCAGAGGATCCTAGCTCTACGTCTCCTGAGCTACCTTTTACAACACTCAGACCCAAAAAGCCCCAGAATCCCAACAGAGCCCAGGGCTGGCTCAGCCCCAGTGTCTCACCACCCGCATCCCCTGGCCCCTGATATCCTCCCTCCCCTGGGATCCCTATTTATAAGTGGTACTTGCTGGGACTCGTTTTGCTTTTCGGCAAGGCAAGAGCTTTTATTTTGGATATATTTATTGTTGATAAAAGAATTCTAGTAGAGATCTTCAATGAAGATAAGGCTCTTGTCAAAACACAGACAGATCCAGAATTCCCACCTGGCTTGGAATATGGGATTATTCCTGTTAGCATTTCTCTGCAGTGCTCTAAGATACTAATTGTTACAAAGCCTTTCTAAAGGGAAATCATCCCCTAATGGCATCTGCCTCATAGGCTTGTTGTGGGTAATGAATAAACACACGTTAAAGCACTTCTGAAACAATGCCTGGCTTTATTCAAGTGGTGTCCGTTGTCATTCAAAGCCCTGGGAATCCTGTACTGCTGCTCAGAGGTCTTGCTTGGAGGGGTGGGGATAGGCTGGAGTACCTGACAGGTGTCTGGGAAGAGTACAGAATACACGACAGACTGAGTTCTGAATCTTCCATAGCCACAAGGGCTCAGGAGGCACCCACCTTCTACCCAGACATCCCTCCCTCAGGACAATGAGATCAATGAGGGCCAAAAAAGGACTACCTTCAAATCAAGGTTAGGATCCAAGGAAGCCAAGAAGTGCTCAGCACTGTGTTTTTTCTATTTTAAAGATTTTGAGGGGCGCCTGGGTGGCTCAGTCGTTAAGTGTCTACCTTCAGCTCAGATCATAATCCCAGGGTCCTGGGATCAAGCCCCGCATGGGGTTCCCTGCTTGATGAGGACCCTGATTCTCCCTCTCTCGCTCCCCTGCTTGTGTTCCTGCTCTGTCAAATAAGTAAAATCTTAAGATTTTGAGAGCGAGCAAGTGCGTGAGCATGAGCAGGGAGCCTGACATGGGGCTCAATCCCAAGACCCTGGGATGGTGACTGGAGCCAAAGACAGACGCCTAACCGACCGAGCCATCCAGGCGCCCCAGCACCGTG